TTTTTAAGATATAAAAGCACTTGAAAGCATCCAACAGAAAATTCACGGTTTTTTATAGTACCTCTCTTTATATAAGTATTTAACGTAATACTTTATTCTAATGGGGCACAAATATAAATATATGGATAAATAGTAATGTATATATTGCCACTTTATTCTACAACATTTCACTTTAGATTGATTTTTTTATTCTTTAAAAGAAAAATGAATGTCGGATCATAATTGACTTGTACTACTTATCCATTCAATAGCTAGTTTGTTGATAATTATCGAAAACTCGTAATAAATTTGAAAGCTGTTCAAGAAAAATGAGTGCGAACTGAGAAAGAGATAAACACGATCGCGATAGTTATATCGTAAAATTTCGTCGAGTCGATAAATGTCACCATCGGCGCGCATGCTGCGATTAATGAATTATAATTGGTAACAACGAGCGCGAATTTCGCGGAGGTGAGAGTAGAAGGAAGATCGGAGATAATGCGAGAAACGGAAATGCAAGAGAAAGAGAAAAGGAGAAGGAGAAACTGGAGGAAGCGAGAAAAGGTAGCGGAATAAAAGGGTGGAGGCCGCAATGAGCTGAGCTTTTCCACGCTTCCCCTAATTACATTTTCATACGAACCGTTTCCCCTTTATTTTCTTCTTCGCCCTACGACCATTTTTCCCGGAGCTAAACCCCCTTCTCCGTCGACGGTCCTGCTACCCTTTTCTTCCATTTCTTCGCTCTCGTCTGTGCTCTCGCCTCCTTTTCTCTCATCTCTTCTTTTTCTCCTCCTCCTAGTGACCCTTTCACCCACTCGCGCCTTTCCGTACTGGAAAAAACGCTTTAATACGTTCTCGCCACGTTGCCGAGCGAAGAAAAAAAGAAAAGTATGAGGACGAAAACAAGAGAAATATCATCCTCAGATCACAGTCTTCTCGAAATGCGTCAATTTTCGACCCGCGTACAAATCCCGCATTAAGAGCGCATTAAGGAGCGTATTCTGCAAAGCGCGGCTTCTATGACAGGACTGCCTACGAGATGGATTCTGAGTTCTAAAGTCTCGTAGCCGAGATTATTGCACTAAGAAGAAATGTGTATTTGCCAGAGTCCAGCGTTAGTTTAGAGCTCGTTCAAAATCAATTTACCGAATAAAACATCATCATTATCGATAATCGCGCGCGTGTCACCTCTTTAGATTTATTAGATTCCCATATGAACTTGCGATAGTTTTCACATGTCGCAATAATATCGCGACAATTTTAAATATAAAAAGATATTTCGTAATTTTAATATTCTCGCAAAATGTTGTGTGCGATTTGTAGGCTCTTGAAGTAGAAAGAAAGGTGTTATTTACTATTACTTTTTATTTATTTATTTATTTATTTTCATTATAACGGAGCCACCTTTTTGACCCCCCGCCATTCTCGGCGATTTTTGTTGTCGGCGAGCGAGTTTATTCTTCGTACGTCGTCTCTCGTCTCCTCGTGTATATCCTCCGTGCGTGCGACATAATCGCTTTAATACATTTCCGCTGCGTCCTCGCTTCGAAACATAAAAGCGGTCGCTCCCGTAAAAGTTATGGGACAATGCTTACTATCGCGTCGTCGCCTTGAACCGAATAACATAAATATATATAGTATTCCGTCGGACATATTTTGTATCCCCGAGATTGACGTTAAAAAAATCGTGGGACGCGTCATACAATTTTCAACTTATTAAAAAATATTGTTATATAAAGTATCATAATATTGCTTTTTCGAATGTGATATATGTCGCGGAAAAATCAAGCGTTACGTCGTGCCGCTAAGAAATGTCTCTACATGATTGTTATATCGTGCGCAGAGCGCTGTTGGATATATTAAAGACTTACAAAGTAAAGTGTAAAATGTAAAAAGGTATGGTTGAATTTGCATGAGAATTTTATGGAAGTTTGCGCCTCTCGCGAAAGAATGAAACGCCGATGTGCAAATGATATTCCTGCAATCAGCGACGGATTTTGCATGCGACGCAACAGCCGAGCTCTTGCATGGTCGGATAATTCCATTCCCGTCCGTGAGTGGACACGCCGCTTTTCCCATCGTAGCCACTCGCTTAACTTTGCGAAAGTCAGCAGTGCAGTCGGAGACGAGACTAGGAAGAGAAAGAATAAGAAAAAGAAGTATGGGACGAGGAGACAAGGAGGCAAAGACCTTCGATTCTTCTTTCGTTCTCGTGCGTTTGTTTACAGAGGACCTCGATGGAAGACGGCTGGCGCGGAACGAGGATACAGGACCCTGAGAGAAAAAGGGAAGGGAGAATAGAGGAGCCGAGACGGAGAGACTGTAACAGAAAAGTACCAAGGACGCGCGAGGCGAGGGGATTCGGAGGAAGGGACAAGCCGAGGTGGTGGAGAAGGAAGAGGATGAGGAAGCAAAAAAAAGAAAAAAAAAAAAGGATTCGAGGATTCTCGAGGCGAAGAGTCGAGTGGTTGGGTGGTCGAATAATAGAGCTGCCCTTAATACCGTCATCCCCGCGCTATCCCCGGGTTAAACGAGGAAAGAGGTCGGCGGAGGAAACAGTGCACCGCGAGAGAGCGAGAGAAAGAGAAAGAGACAGACAGTGGCGGTGGCACGGAAGCGTAGGACGGGACCGGGACGAGGAGAACGAGGGGGATCAGGATGGTCGCTCGTGGTTCGTGTGCCGGCGCCGCCGTCGGGTGGGAACCAGGAGAACGGAATAGAAGGGATGATAACATTTGTATCATATTTAACGCTAGAACGAGCGGGTTAAGGGGTGGAAGACAGCCTCCGCCCGCCGACCTTCTCCTTCTTCCTCATCTTTGCCTCCTTTGGTCTTCTCTCGCGCTCTCTTGGTCACCCTCCAACCCTCTGCCCCCTCCTATGGCCTCTCTTACGACCGCGTTTCTCCGTCGCTACCCTCTAACGCCACTTCGCATCCCCTTTCCCCGCTACTCGCTCACCACTCCGAGTAATATACCACTGAAATCAATACCACCACACTGCCTTCTCTATTTACCCAAGCTCATCATTCGTACACAAATTTATTGCATGTCCCTAGCAGCTCGGGACATCTCTCCCGAACTGCTAGGAATATATTGCGCGATCGGATTGCTACGATTTCGTAATAGCCTGGCTAATGTCACGCGGCCCATTTAACGCGCCGATGATTATTTCTTCTCATCCGGCTATCTTGAGCAGAAACTATATTCCGATTATCTTTTCGGGCTGTCTGCTCTATTATTCTGTCGTGTAATAAGATATAGATGTCCTCTCAAAAGCATCGATCCTGTGATGATCGAATGAAATGTAAAGTGTTCTTCACTGAGATTTCTACTTTAAATACGTACTTTGTCGTCAATTCGATGTAACACGTATATATTTTTTATTTTTATTATTCATCGTATAATTTCTTAGTTGTTATTTTTATTATTTCTAGATGCATGTAGCACTAACATATATCTAGGCACAATTTAATAATTGTATATATAAAACTAGTAAAATCTCAAAATTTTTGAAAGAGCTGTATACGCAGTGTACGCATATAATATACACACGCACACGCACACACACACACACACACACACACAATATATACATGCACTGCTCTCTCAAAAATTTATCCAAAAAAAAGGATTTATACTACGCGGACGTCACTTTTAATTATCCTCAGTTTATATTAGTCTACGATCTCAATTCTGCTTTCCCGTGCGAACAATTTTCTCTCGCGGAGCACAGCCGAATGTAATTTATGCACACGCTGGGACGTCGGGTAGGATCGCATTAGACGGCACGTGGTAGCTGGAGAGAAAATTTTTTTAAATACTCGCTCGCGCTGAATTATTTAAAACGCCGCGACGCGCACAGGTGGTTTTACGCGTTCATGTACGACGTATCCGCATACAACCTCACGTGTGCATCTTGGTGTACGTACATGTGTACGTACGATGCGTATTGCGTCTATGTGAACCGTTATGTGTTGCGATATTACGTTATTAGGCGGGCAACCCTACTATCGCATGCCCTGCTTTGAGCTCGTTATACGCCACGTCCTGAGGAAACGGAGCGGTAGCGAAGTGAGGGTCCTGTTCTTGTACGGGTGAAAGATAACCGATAAGTAGTGCTACCAGATAAATGCCGTACCAGATAAATTAACCGTACGCGATATACATGCATTTATATGTATTACGTCGTATCACGTGAATGCAAAATTGTGGAAATATAACAGCGGCTTGTTACAGATATAATCTATAAGATAAACGTTATACACGATAGTCACAAATTGTTTCGCGAATAATTATTAACCGTATAGATTAAGCAATTGCAGCAACTTTTAATTACTTTTAATTACGCGTTGTACGCGCTGTCGAGTTGAACTTGACTGTAAGAAACTAAAAATTTAGACATATTTTTGCCCGAATTTTCAAATCAGAGTGTCTGAAAGTAATTTTAGACAATATGTCTTAATCACAAACCTTGTTTTTTCTGAAAGTCAGAAGAGTTACTGCAAATTTAGTTAGCGTATCTGTAAAAAAAACTCCAGATACCTCTATCTGAATTTTCAATCAGCTATTTCTTAGTGTTTGAATACGTTACAAGAATTGTCGATAACATTCAAGGCGAGTTAGAAATATAGTTTTTTGCATTCAAAATATTTAAGCGTCTATTTATAATTGATACTCATAAACCTCTTGTGAAACCTCTCGCGAATTGGATTACATATTCATGAGCTCATGTTGATACTGTAGTACTGGAGCTCATTAGTCGTCTATCTAATGACGTTCACCGTTAACTTATTGTTAGAGCACAATCGGGGAGTTGTGCGAGTGCACGAGATATCAAGATTAATAATGCATCTTTGAGGCTGCATCCGCTAGTAGGACACGCGCAAATATGGGTCGAGCTGTTCGGACGGAGGTGCGTCAAAAGCTCATTGATGTACCGAGTAGTTGCTCGGCCACCAACCCCGACATTCATATAACATGTCTCTATCATCGTCTTATATTTCTTTTTCAATTTTTCAGGAGAGCGATGCTGAAAAAAGCGATCAGGATCTGGTTGTCGATGTGGCGAACGAGGTAAGAGACTGCTTAGTTAAAAAAGTATAATTTTTTTCATTTTTGTACGAATATACATCTTATTATCTACAAATAACTTTTAATCATTGATCACTTTACATACAAGTCTATCACAATTTTTACACTTATTTAACATATTAAAATTATCTATCTAGTGTTGAGAAAAATTTAAGTTCTTTTTATTAAGTACATTGTTATTTTGAACTTTATATTTATATAAAGTTAGAAAATTATATTACCAGATTTAAAGTTAGATAAATGTAATTTGTGTGTAGGCGAGAAAAAGATACGATTTAAAGCATTTCATTTATCGTGTATCTACAATTAAACCTCTTTGAACATATCGATTGGCTATTAAAAGATATATACAGAGTTATATACAAGAAATTTTTAAAAGCTTAGAAATTCTATATCGATTCTTTAATCGATATAATGGACTTATATATTGGATGTAAATATCATATTTATGTTAAAATTAGATGACGTTTAGATTCGGTGGATTCGACATGAAACTGTTTTTATTATTTATCGTTTATTTTTTACATATTAAAAAAAAATAATTTCTTTATGTAAATAGGTTTTTAGATATCACAACTTTTAAAAAATTGATGACTACTTATGTGTTAGAACATATTTGTAACATGTAGAATTTATGGCAATAAGTTCTAATAGTTTATCTTTCACTAAATTTAGATTCCATTACCAAATATTATTCAGTGGATAAATATGAGTTTCAATACTATAGCTGGAATGATCTTTATAAGAAACGATTTTCCTATACTATAATCAAACTTTATAACAAGAGTGATTAGCCTTAGTGAATAGACGCTATAGAAAAATTTTCTTTCTAATTTCACTAATAGTTCAGATGTAAATTCTGTCTTGTTATTCGGATTGATAAAACATATGCGACATATTACATTATTTGCTGTCATTCATCTATTCGCTAATTATTTATCTCAATTAAGTTTTCACATCTAGAAAATTATTGCTACAAATGCAAGACCATTCGTTTTAAGAGCATTAGATTATATTGTGGCGAAATGGAGGGGAAGATGGAACGTGGCTCGCAAATCACACGTTTGAGAGCCCTATTTGTCAAGCTCGATATGGTGTACGCATTTGTCTAAAATAAGAAAAAAATGTGCGTGTGCGATAGGAGGCATCATCCCCGCACGCGAACGGCGAGCATTCGGATCCACGCGAAAACGGTACCTTGGAGAAGCTGGGCGCACCAGGTCACGTTGGCGGACCGGCATCAGGGACGGGCTCGGCATCCGTTAAGGACAGGCCACCGTCGCGCAGCGGCAGCTCATCCGCCCGTAGTACACCGTCTCTGAAAAGTAAAGATGTAAGATCTCGCGGAGAGTAAGTTTATTCGGCGCTGCGACCCGGCCCAGTCGTGAGCTTTTGTCGCCTGAATGTATCGAAAATTCCATCTCGCGATCCATCAAAAATGAATATAAAGTCAATCTTTTCGCGAATCGCCAGATGTTTCTTTTCTCTTCGAATTACACGTATCTTACTTCGAAGCGTAAATAAGAAGGTAAAAGGTACATTAAAAATTGCACATGAAATAATATAGTTGTAAGAAAAAAAAAATTGAATTGAAATCTGTGACATCTGGCGATTTTAACATCTCCGCGACAATGGAGCAAATGAATGAAATTTTGGCGACTCAAGGCACGGAACGTATTCATTCATTCGATCGATCGTGTTGAAGCAGCGGCTCTCTGCCGTCGCGCGTGCGAAAGAAAAAAGGAATTGCCAGGGATTGACGCGGTCGAGCTTAGTACGATTGCGATGTAATGTGCGTCTGCAAAAGTGGGTGCAAAAACACGGTACGTTCGCCAGGTCGACAAGCCGGGTACACCTGTGGCGGCGGCGAGGGGCTCGCGCAGTTGTACGCCAACTATGGGCGGCATCCCTGGGCCCTTGGCATCGCGGGTCTATCATCCGCCATCGTCGCAGCAAACGCCACCGCAGGGTTATCAGGGCTTGCCATCCCGCGGCAATGAGCCGCCGCAGTCGCCCTCGCCATACAGCAACTTGCCATACGCGAGGCCCTCTTTGGTGATTCACGACCCCGTAACTCCTTACGTTATCACGCTTTCATTAATCAATCAATTAGCATCATATCATTTTATACGCGAATCAGTATCGTATATATGCGAATATAATCGTTGTGCACATGCGTTGTGTTATCATTTATTTAACTCTAGAAGGTGATAATATTAGTTTTCTTCTAGTCTCGTTCACAATTGTCTCGTATAAATATTACAAGTCTATATAATTTTAACGTAAAATTAAAAATTGCTAGGAATATCAAATGATCTCCATCTTGCGCAAAAGTCCTCCTAGAGTTAAACCGCAATCAATCTCGTTGCAAATTCATGCAAACATCACAGAGATTGACGTTTCTTAAAAGCCATTTGTTTCGCAAATCATTTACAAATCAAATAAACGCATATACATGTATACATATAGAGTAAAATAGTGTAATATGCCTCGCGACACATTTTTGTCTAAATCAACATAAGAACATACAACGTATGTAAACATTATGACGATTACTTATTATTTTATGGAATGAAAAATGAAAAATTGCGTAACGGAACAATTCGTGCGATTTTCCGGTTGATTGTAGTACCGCCGTACTATCGACTCCCGTTTCAATATCGATTTCTTATCGTTAAACTCGTTATATCTGAGCAATTAATGAGGCATTTTACACGTCGTGGCGTATTACATTGTTTTACTCTTACATATATATATATATCCTGTTTATCATGATACTGAACGAATCTCTCTTTTTTCGCAGCTTGGTTTTGACAGTCACATGAGGATATCCGCGAGTAACGGGCTGAGCAACATCGCGGGCGGCAAACCGTACGTAATTTGACAATTTACGACACATGCACGAAGCCCTCTTAGATCCTCTCTTCCCTTCCGCCTCTGTCTCCAGCGCTTTATTGTAATAAGAGCCGCTAGTTAAGCATACTACGCATACGTTTCGCAGAGCGTACTCTTATCACATGAACGGCGAGGGCCAGCTACAGCCCGTACCATTCCCCTCAGACGCTCTAATCGGACCGGGCATTCCGCGTCACGCGCGTCAAATTAATACCCTGACTCACGGCGAGGTGGTCTGCGCCGTCACGATCTCGAATCCGACCAAGTACGTTTACACCGGCGGTAAAGGTTGCGTCAAGGTTTGGGATATCGGCCAGAGTGTCGGCAGTGCCAGCGTGAAACCAGTTTCGCAGCTGGACTGTTTGCAACGTGACAATTACATTAGGTAAGAATACCTCGCTATGTATTATATTATTATATATTGAAATATCCCGTTTCATCTTTGGTTACTTTCAATTTTTCCAAAAGAAAAACATGTAATCAAACGGAATAAGCAGGGTGTAACAAATGACCAAGCACGATTAATCATGTCGATTAGTCATATTGCTGTCATGTTGCCAACAATTATATTATTGTCAACATTTCTTGATAACGTGACAGCAATTTCACAGACAGCTGGCTATCTGGGAAACTTATACTAGGATACGTCAGAAAAGAAAAAAAAAATCTTCTTGTTTCCCCAAACAGGTGAATATGCCGAATTGTCAATTCTGACTCTTCTATGATTTATCACTTATCTTTCAAGTGTATTTGTATGTGGTATTTTTTCTTGTATAGCTTTTCTTCATTGTGATTTTATGTCAATTTGAAATGAGTGCTCCGTTATTTAACTGTATTATCGGAGAAAAAAATACAAGCAGGGGATACGTTTTCTCCACTCAGAGAGGAGATGAAGCCTGCAGAGATTATTTACGAAATGCAACAGCAACACGGTGAGACTTAATCTAAATCGCAGCAGGATCTATGAATGGCTAGATCGTTTTAAAAATAGTTGGATTTTTGTCTGCGATGAAGAGCGTTCAGATTGAAATCCGATCATTTTTAAAACGATCTATCCATAAATCTTGCTGTAGACAACTCTCACCATACTGCTGCTGTATTCTACGAATAATCTCTGCAGGTTTCATCTCCTCTCTGAGTGAAAAAACGTATCAATGCTCACATTTCTTCTGGATTCGTGGACAATAGAGTATTCATTTTAAATTGACATCAAATGAAAGAGAGCTACGCAACAAACCATCACTTTGAACATACAAATACACTTTGAAGTTATGATAAATCATAGAGGAATCAATATTGCCAGCTATTTGTTTAGGAAAACAAAAATTTCTTTGTTTTTTTTACTTACCCTAGAATTTCTCTCGAGTAATCGATGATGGTAGAGATAAAAAAAAAAGCGAAAATATTTTTTTTCTCGCATCATAATTTAAATCGAAATTAAAACGATTATATTTAATTTTAATAGCAAAATTAAGGGAGAGGAAGGAATTTGGTGAGACATATCTTCTACCTCTCAGGTCCGTGAAACTTTTGCCCGACGGAAGGACTCTGATAGTCGGCGGGGAGGCCAGCCAACTGAGCATCTGGGACCTAGCGAGTCCCACGCCGAGAATCAAGGCGGAATTGACTTCGTCAGCGCCCGCCTGCTACGCCCTAGCGATCTCGCCGGACTCCAAGGTCTGCTTCAGTTGCTGCAGCGATGGCAACATCGCTGTTTGGGACTTGCAGAACCAGACGTTGGTCAGGCAGTTCCAGGGCCATACAGACGGGGCGTCCTGCATCGATATCTCCGCCGATGGGTCCAAATTGTGGACCGGCGGCCTCGACAACACCGTGCGCTCGTGGGACCTTCGCGAAGGCAGACAATTGCAGCAGCATGATTTTACCTCGCAGATATTTTCTCTCGGTTATTGTCCAACCGGGGAGTGGTTGGCCGTTGGAATGGAGAACTCGAACGTGGAAGTGCTCCACGCCACCAAGTCTGACAAATACCAACTGCATCTGCACGACTCTTGCGTGCTCTCGCTGCGTTTTGCCTCCTGCGGAAAGTGGTTTGTCTCTACCGGCAAGGACAACTTGCTGAATGCTTGGCGTACGCCATACGGTGCTTCAATCTTTCAGGCAAGCATTTTAATATGAGCTTATCTTAGTGTAGGTAATGTATACATTTTCTCTGGATTTTATATTGGAACCTCTCAAGAGTAAAACGCGAAATATATTGTTTCTACGCGCTAAGTCACTCTCTCGAATAATATGAATACGGATAACGGTCAACCCGCGTAACAATGCACAGAACTGCGGGCGCAATACCCTTTCCCGTAGAAAGAACATGTTCATAGACATGTTAAGTCTTGCGAGTAACTATCATATGAAACAATATCTTGTCGTAAACGTGACGGGATGACAGATATATCAGATCCCCTTGTGGTCTATTCTTGAAAGGTTTCAATGTACTTTGATTTTTTTTTCATTTCCGATTAACATTGGACATGAGTTGCATCGTAAAATTTAATATATTACGGGAGCATTTGTATGACGCAAGATATATCTATATACGTAGGATATATATATATATATATATATATATATATATATATATATACATATATATATATATATATATATATATATGTATTCATTTCTTGTATTTATCAAATTTTTTCAATTCGTTGAACAAGATCAATCTAAAAGCAAATAAATTTCCTGTTTCTCCAAAATATTTCGTAAATCGTCAATTTGTAAATTGAGTAACAACGTTTATATTTAGCGTATGTATGGATATACAAGCTATATTTTGGACGAATTTTGTTAAATTTTGCAGTCTAAGGAATCATCGTCGGTGCTGAGTTGCGACATTTCCGCAGACGACAAGTACATTGTGACTGGATCCGGCGATAAAAAGGCCACTGTATACGAAGTGATTTACTAAGCCTATCCGTTAACGAAAAGAAAGACCTGTCTTTCCTCCTTAATAGTGTTAAAATCAATCGAGAACTTTATTAATCTCCCGTATATCTTCCCTTCGCAAGGAGGGGAGCGCAAAAAGTTCCCGAAAGTGGGATTCTTAGCAGCCTTAGGACCCTTTAAGACCATTCGACTGGTAATTGTGTACATATATGCATATGCGAATCTATAACGGAATTACAATAGAAGAATGTGTGAAAAATCAGTGTATGCGTGCATGTACGAGTGCGTGCGTGCGTGTGTGCGTGCGGAGCGGTTCGCACGCCTACTAAAGTAAACGAGAGGAGCCTTCGCAAACGGTGATGTTAGACATATAATATGATTTTGTAGCTACGTAAATGTAGGATTATAACGCGCCTAAAGCGGCCTGGTATCATCGAGATTAGGCGTCGCAAGATTAGTCTCGCCTATCGGCGAGAAATTGCATTATGCTTTTCAGCGAACGGAACACGGGCGTTCGTCGAGACGTCACTTCGAACACTTTTGCAATCGCTATATCTTCAAACAGAATCGAATCCCTTCTGCTGTCCCTTCTCGAGTAACACAAAAAAACCGTCTAAGAGAAAAAACGCATTTGAAAAATGTCCGAAATCTTCTTTTATGATATTTGTGCGACATTGTTTTATTTCTAGAAGCTTAATTGTATTGCGTTGGCGGACTTTTATTAATGAGATGTACATTCATAGATGCATATATGCAATATATGTAATAATCTGTTATGAATAATCAATATTGTTAAACTCGGTTCGATAATTTCTAATCGGGATAAAAAAGCTATATCTCTCGAGTAATTTGTCGAGCGTATTAAGCAAGAGGACGGCACATGCTTTGAACTGTCAGATTCTATCGGTGTCAATTTCACTGTCACGACTCCTATTGCCATTTGACACATAGCAAACTTGATTACAAGCAAATACTTTTTTTGCATCGTAAGCATAAAGAATGATACCTTATTGTGTAATAATTGAATTTGTACGTGATATGCGTGATGACGGCGAATGGCAGATACGAATCCCTGTACAGAATCCTTGTACATATTCGACGTTTGTGATTATAATGATTATAAAACGAGTGCGCATATACAGTGTACTCGGAATCTTTAAATATACCTATGTAAAGTACAACCCCGTGCACAATCGAAACAAAACTATTTCTCTACTTTAATTAGGTGATACAATGCGCGGAGATCAATAGAGGCGGATGACTTGCTGCAGTTTTTAAATATCGAGTTTTATAATATTGATGAAAAAAATATTGACATTGCACGAAAAAAAAAAAAAACCAAAAGATCACAAATATCTTATGTTGAAAAATATTTGAGCAATAATATTATAATTGGGGTTTTATATCCGATCGTATAAAATACGATAAGGAGCATCTTCTCCTCGTAAGTGCTTTCGCGAATGATTTCTGCTTTCGATTGATCTTCGTCTTGCGAAAATTAGCTGGATGAAATTCTCGACAGACAGACGAGCGCGAATTATAATGTATCATCGAAATGATTAAATTTGTGAAATTATACGGTCCTTTATTCTGTGTCCTTAACGTGAAGTAATAAAACCAAGTAAACCTTAAGAAAAACGGATAGAGTTACTTTATTATAGTTCTCGCAGTTCTCGTCTTGCTGGCGAATATATGGCAAATTGAGAGGTTTGATTATATATGTATAACGCGCGCACGCGCGTATCACTTATGTAGGGAAAGATATGTCATATAATTAATGATGACGTATCCGCAAATTTCTTGAGGAAAAATAAATACGAATCTATTTCACTTCTTCCTCACATTTTTAGTAATAATATATGACAATTGATATATTATTACACACACGCGCGTATACACACACACATAAATATATATATATATATATATATATATATATATATATATATATATGATTTCATTTATTGTCTCGTATCAAGTTGGATTTTCCCAGTTTCTCTCTCTCTCTCTCTCTCTCTCTCTCAGTGTGTAATTAAAGTCACATGTGTGTGGCAGAAGAAAATAAAATTGTTTTTACAACGAGAGTTTTTTACGCGCTTTCTTCAAACACACTATTGCGTGTTAGAATCCATATGACGAATCGATGACTCGCATATTGTACAATATGACATACATATAATATGTAAACAGCGATTATATCCGACGAATTAGTAGTCATCGCGAATGAAACATTATTCATTGGTAAATATAGATAATCGTCGCGTTTCTCTATCTAATAAAAATTATCTGATAAAATGAGTATCGCGAAAAAAAATTACTACTTACTGATTATATAGCTTTATCTTCAAAAGAGATAAAGAGAAAAAAATATTCGTGTATATTTCTGATATCATTTGCTAATTGCAATGAATTTTTTCTTAAAATTCCGCGATATGAATAAGATACATGAGTAAGATAAATTTTCAAAGGAAGGAAATGTGAATCGAGAGAAGGAGAAAGTAAGTACCACAAAAGATATCGCAAATTTGTTTCCGATAATCTTCGATGTATTTACATTTTACGTGTGTACAAGATCGTTAAAAACATTAAATGTTTATGCTCGCGTTATACGATATAATCTGTCCATATATTTACATATTTTTCCGTGTGTACAAGATTGTTAGAAACATTAGGTGTTTACAGGTTGCTTTTTTTTCCTTTCTTTCTTTTTCTCACATACCATCTCGCGCATGCTTTAATAAATTCCGCTCGCTCTCTCTCTCTCTCTTTCTTTCGTCGGATCATCGTTTTTAAATACCCTCTGACGAATAGTCGTTGCTTATATACAAGTAGAAAAATTCTAGTAACGTCACGCGTTATTACAAACGGAAGGAGGGAGGAGGGAGAATACTACACATACGCATCCATCCTTCATACAAATCGTTCGTACAAATGTTTACAGACATGTTTCGAAACTTTTTCTTAATCTGATTATCGTGACACAATTATACGTTCGTAGTTTCGAGATAAAATCAAGGGAAGATGAAAACGAAAGTGGGGGATATGTAGAGAGTGCTGAGAAATATATATAAAAATTCATGAAAACGTGTTTCGCAATTTTACTGATCGCATCACGATACAATGCAATATCTCACATATATACATGTATATTCTCTCATTGTGTTTTATCTCATGTGTATACGTGTGCGCGTATTGTACAGTAGACGTCAATAATACCAAAATTAACATATAAAATTTGCCTTTGAGATCAATAATACTAAACACATTAAGTTATTTTTCTGCACGATTGTTAGCTCGAAAAGGAATATTGTTTTGGATATTGTTTTGGAATTATGTACAGACATCTTTTTAATAACTCTAAATGTAAAAGATTATGTCGTAAAATGTTTAAAAGATAAAAAGTTATACGCTACTAAAGTTATAAGCTATATATTATATAAATATAAGTATAAAATTAAAAAAATATAAAGATAAGCAATATAAATATAATACACACATGCGCGCGCGCGTACACACACACACACACACACACACACACACACACACACTCATATATAATTATATTCATATTACTTATCTTTATATTATTTTGATCTATTTAATATTTATAGTAATATTATTTTAATATTAATAATAATATTAATAATTTATATTTTATAATATACAAATTTATAGTATAACTTATTTATCTTCAACTATACGAATAATAATCTTTTTCTTAAACTGCATTTAAAGCTGACAGACTTGTATATGGCCACAATCCCAAAACAATATTTCTTTTTACTAACAGTTATGATGCACGAATAGTTTGATGCAATGCGTTTAGTTATTACTGGTCCCAAATGTGTGATCAATTTTATATGTTAAAGCATCATTGACGCTTACTGTTTCATAATCTAGAAGATGCATAACGCAATCCGACTTTTAAATTAGTTAATTTTACAGGAAATTTTTCATTACAAATGAATAATAATCTTTCCGCACTCCTTGCCTTTAGGATTTAGGTTTCCAGTTCACTTAGTTTCCCAGAACACTAGATCCAATGGCGGAGAGGGAGAAACAGAGAGGAGAAAACTAAATTTTTTCCCTTTCTTCTACTTCTTTTGAAAGGTGTCGCGGTAGTCTGAGTTTTTTAAACATTAAACAGAGAACAGTGTGATAATAAAAGAAATGATGTATGGTAAATAGTATGGGAAATCACTCGAATACTTTTAAGAGAGAATTGAATACTTGTACAATGATGAGAGACCGACTTACCGTGCCTAATAGTCGATCGTTATCTTTGCGAATCAATTTTTCCTTACACGTCTATATCTATCTACAAATATGAGGGATGTAAAAACATATACAAAAGTACAGTACAATTCATGTTATGTCGCAATTCACAATCGCAACGAATCATTAAATCACTCTAGTAAAATTTGTATAACAAAAAGAAGAAAAAAAAAAAGAAAATTTATTTGAACCGCTCGGATTACTTTAACGCTAACAATCTTCGTCATGCAGAACATATTTAAAAAGATATCCCTGCGTTTCTCGAGGATAATTGTGCTCAATAAGCGCAGACGCAAACTGTATATATTTGGTCGTAAAACTGTACGCCTCTTGCCGGAATTCGATGCGCCAATTTACGTTTCGACATTCTGGCAGAAGGTCCTATTCTAGAAAAGGAAAAGCTAACAACTCTTATATGAATTGCGTTCGGAGATATGGCAACGAATATGTCCAATTGCAGCGATTATTTTGAAAAAAAAAAAAAAAAAAAAAAGAAAAAGAAAGAAAGTCTTGTAAAGAAAAATAAGATATGACAATGTGTAAAACTCATAATTGTAAAACTTATAATTAAAAAAAATAGGATAAAGTGCAAAAGGGATATATTGTGTTGCTGTTACCCCTCGCAATGTTGCCAGATTCTGCGCTTTGTAAAAAAAATAATCATCAAGTGATTTCAGATACGTTTAGTCCTGCTGTTTGGTAACTTTATTTGACAGATGTGAGCGATGGCTCAATATTCCGCGCGCGAATATTTCGAGAGGAAAACACAGGGAAGTAAAATAATTGACGTATCGCTTTGTAAGATATCTATATCTGTCATACGAGTTACCGGAAAAAAGCAATAATCAGTATTAACGTGTAAAAACATGTTCGGAATGAGAGATCATACTTAAAAATACGATTAAGTAGTTCTCACACACCGATCTTCATTTTTTTTTTAATAAAACGATTCAACAATAACAATCAGAGTCTCTGGCAATTTTGCTGTTGCTCTGAGCAACATTTACGAAACATATTAAAGGTTTTTTTTTCTGAATATATGTATAACCTCTCCGCGTTTTTTTCATCCTTAACGTACATTATATTTACAAGTCGCGCTAAATAGATCTCTATTTATGTATATCATATTATCTTACTATTCTTAAGGCTAGTTTAGCTTGCTGCACACACGTGACATGGTCCATGTGACATATGAAGACACTGGGTGGTCAGTCGCTGTCCGAGCCCACTGGATTGATCTTTTTCCTTTTTTTCGCTTGCTTTGTATTCACGATCATCTCCTCATCCTGTAAGCGATAAGAAAAAAAGATCTCTCATCGTCAAAATTTTTCTATATTTTACATATACACGTGCAGAATAAAAAAAAAGTATAGTAAAAGAACTTACTTCACTACTAGTGCTACTATCAATGTGATATCGAACTGATCTCTTCAAATTGGATCTTTCTCGCGTGTTAGCACCGGTTTTCCTATGACCACCTTTACCACTGCCACCGGTTCCGGAGGAAACATTGTGTTTTCTCGCAGAACTACTCGGCGGCGGTGGCGGCGGTTCGTTCTCCTCGTTGACTTCGGCAAGCGCGAAAAGATCGCCGTAGCTTTTTCTCAACGAGTCGTTGCTTGCCGCTTGCGCCTGTTGCAACGCTCTCTGCATACCTTCCGAATGGTACAGTTGTAATTCCGTAGAAGACACGCAGTGCTGACGTAATTGGTCCAAATGGCCGAGAACTTGTTCACCGGTCGGTGGACCGGACTGTTGATTCTGTTTAGCGCCAGAACGTTTCCGTTTATTTGGACTGGTCGCGGGATAACGAGTGCTGAGCAAGTTTGCAAGCAGTTCGCCAAGCTTCTCCTCGTAATCGCGACACCAATAGCGTAGCACAGCCACGACGAACATGTCACCATCAACACTCTGCCGCGCAAGCAGTTGTCGTAGAAGATCCAACGTTGGCCTATACAATATAACATACGAATTGTATATTAAATTGTTTGATAATTTATACCAAAGATTTCGATATGTATATAAACTGTAGCTATAATTACTCACTTTTCTTGCTTAAGCATCAACAAAACCGAAGTAAGCGCCTCTGCGTGATTGCGAAACTGTAGTTTCGGCAAAACCGGCAATACGTAATCAATCGGAAAATCGTGCGCGAATATCAGCTGCCAGAAACAGTACTGCTCGAAAGTTTCCCAGTTTAAGCTAGCTGTTAATAACGCGGTGAATGATTCTTTCTTTAGCATCTTCAAATGGCCCTGCATTATTTGACAAACTAGATCCTGCAACTGGCACGAATCCACAGTAGAGACAACCAGATGTAACAGTTGGACATTCCCGAGGGCAACGTTTTGAAATCCCATGTACACGTCGGGCACGAGATAACATAACATGAATATGTTATCTTCATGGCAGAGCTACGATAAAGGCAAAGGTAATGAATGTTGCAAAGCTGTCCCTGAATATATGTATACATACAAAATATCTATTTGTAGCCAGCCATAAAACTATATACACGTACCTTTAAGTCCGATACCAGGCATACGTCCAATTTTTTTTCTCGTTGCGCACAAAAGTCCTTGTACACCGATGCTTTAACGTCATTCAAAACATTGCTGAAATCAA